AAAAAAAAAAAAAAAAAAAAAGAAGTAACAAATGTGCTTCCTTGTCTTTGTTGTTCCCCTTCAAAATTTGACATTACGAGACCCCCTAACAGATCTAGAAACACTCAAACATCACAGATCCCTTTGTGAAATATTCCTGTAAAGTAATTGGTGCTGTTGTACAACACCAAACATCTTATATGTAAAAAAAATATAATAATAATAGTAGTGATGAAAAGGAATCTACACAATCTTTATCTACACTGAAACGAGGACCACTGTGGAAATATCTGAGGGTAGTTTGCGTTCACTAAGCTGTAAGACTGTGAAATGTTTCCGTCTTAACGTCGAACTGTCAAAAATGTCGGATGCAGAAGTCGGACAAAGCCTAAGAAAATAAATAAACACTGACCTAATACTGACATGGAATGACTTTTTTTTCTTCTTTTTTAAAACATCTGCTATGTACAACCATCACATTTTTCTGTCCGAGGGAAAGCCTCTTCCTTCTTTCTTGAGAGTAAAAAATAATAATATTTTAAAAAAACTAAAACATAAAGAAACAGCAAAGAATCAGGAGGAGGGGAGCAGGAGGGAGGGATAAGGCAGCAGAATACAGTCGTATGAGATTATCTCCGTTCTAAAGATGAGTCAGTCTGCAGGTCGGTTACATTTTTGTTAGAGTGACAGTGACTACATAGAGGATACAGATAATAAACACTAACAAGTCAAAATACTGTTTAGCTGGGATTTTTTTTTCTTTTTTGAAGGTCTTCTTCATTACTAAACTGAATTAGGCCTTCCATCTACAGCGAACATACTAACATACAATATAATACATTCCTATTTTCCTGCTCTTCCAGGAGGCAGAGAGGACTGAATTTGATCTACGTGAGGGGAAACGGCCACCTATGCTTGCTGTACATCCAGGCAACTTCCTCTCTAGTCAGTGCATGTTCCTGTCTGTCACAGTGCCCGAAGACATCTTAAATACTGAGCGCGCCAACACTTCCTTTATGTTTCCTACAAACTAAGAGGCTGAAGTACTTGAAGGCTAGCCGCTGAAGCGTTTAACTGTTTTGCTGGCTACAAGCACTTCAGCACAATCTGAGGCCACCGTCTCAGCTCGTTTCAAGTCTCGCTTTCCTCCTTGCAGCGTTCCTTCCTTTACATACTCATTGGTACATTCGCCTTCTTTCCCTCCCCCGCCCCCAGCCTCCCCTCCACACCGCTCCTCTCAGTGCGTGGCCAGCTCGGGCTCTGTGGGGAGCGTGCTGTAGCCGTTGGCGGGCTGGGGCAGAGTGTTGCCATCCCTCTGGAGCTCCTTAGCGGCGGCGGCGGTCGGGTGCGGCCTCTGCGAGCGGGAGGTGCCCATGAACAGTCGCAGGGCGCCTCTGCAAATGAGGGAGAACCAGTAGAGCTGGGGCGCCATAAGCAGAGCAGCGCCGAGGTTACAGTGCCAGGGCACCGTCAGCGGAACCATGTGGAAGGGAATGGATGCGTACCTGGACCCAAAACAGGGAGGAGACAAAAAAATTGCAGGGTTGTAAAACGTGCGCTCACAAACCTTTCTAGTGGCTGTGCAAGTCACTGACCCGAGTTCAGCCAGACAGCAGAACAGAGATGGAAAGAAAGACATACCTTCCGTAGACGTAGTAGAGGTAAGGGAAGAGTAGGACTCGACAGATGAAAAAAGTGATCAGCATAAGAGCCCCATTCACTTTGTGCAGGAGAGTGTGCTGCTGTTTGTACTGAGAGCGGGAATAAAAAGAGAGAGGGAGAAAGAAAAGCAAGCGGTACAGTTTGGTGAAAGCCACCGATGTTAATCTTTGACTGTAATACTGTTAATTCTAATATTGTTATATTTGTTAATGCTATCTAAACAAGACGAGGTGGAAAGCACAGTGTAATGCTCCTGGCTGGACACTGGTTGGTTCCTACAGGAAGGGTGGGAGGGCAGGGAGATGCTGCAGCAGCCCCTTTTTACACCCCCTTATTAGCTTAAAGCTTTATCTTGAACCTGTTTTCGTGAGATAACACAGAGCACAAACACACATCTGCCTAAGAGGTTTTTCCTCCTGCCCATTCACTAATCTCACATGCTAGAATTACATGGCATCCCATCAATAAGAACCCTTTTGTATTACATAGGGTTTTTTTTTTAGTTATTTCTTTAAGCAGGGAGGTCTAAGGACACAGCTTTTGCTGTTTATCAAACTGCCATGTGCACTGTGAATGGGAGAGCCAGGGTGCTAAGTGATAAAGGGTAGAAGGACATGCAGATAATATATCTGCTGAACATCCAGTGTAAATCTAGGGGCTATGTTCAGAGACAAACAGCTGTGGGAGCCTCACTTTGGAGTACAAGCAGACACTGAAACACACAGACCTAAAAACAAATACAGGGGGGACGTGCAACTCCAGCAGCGGACTGTGTTACCAATTAAAGACTGATGTTTCTGACAGAGCTGTTCATGTAAGACGCAGCTGACAGGAGCCGCTGGGCATGAACAAGCTGCATGCTGGGAATGGCTGGAAATATACTCTCCGATGAATTAAAAAAGGGAGAAGGAAAAAAAAACAGTAGAGAGTGCAGGAGAACTTTAGTGTGACACATGCACATGCAAAAAAAATTAAAATAAAAATGCACTTCAATCTTCCTACAGGCTGAACTCAGATGCTTACCTGGATGAGTATTTTTCCTAAGCAGACAGACGGAGTGCTGAGCTCAGCCATGAACATTATGCCCTGGAAATAATCGCCCTTTCCTTGTCGCCAAAACTAGGGAGAGAGGGAAAAGAAGGCTGATTATTTGTCTAGACTGCTTTGTTCCTCTGTGGACTTGTTAGTACATCTGCAATAAAAATACCCCTTCTGTGGAAGTGAACGTTTAGCTAGTCAACTGAAATAGTTTGAAGACTTAATTGCTACTCTGTCAGACAAATGTGGACGGCTTTTTAATGCCTCTAGAAGCTGAACAGTGAACACGCTGCAGAACAGTGAATAACTTTAAATCTATTAAAACAAGGGCATAGTTTTAAAACCTGGAAAAAAGGTACTGCTTAGTTTAGTTTGTTTATAAATGAGAGAAGAAGAATCAGAGAATTATCAGGTTCTTATTTGGCACTGGGCTATTTTTCCTCGACTTTACAGCACATTAAACACAATATACACCATATAAATTGCTTTATGAGACAATGATTATTAAATTGGACTTTTATATCCTTTTTGTGCTACACATTAAGTCTTGCTTTGGGAATAAAACGTGAAACACTTCTGCCACAAGTACACTGCACCTTTTCACAAGACTAAAATACCTGAGTGTGGGTAGATAATTCACTGCTATACTTTTCTTGCTTTGCTCAGATCCGTGCTCAACAGAAAGAGCAATGTATGACAGTTACCACAGAGACGGGGAAGCAGACGGTGACCATGACAACATGGTGCAGCACCATGAGGAACTCGCGACGCAAGTAACTGGTCAGCGCCGAGCTCATGTGCTGGGGTGCCGCCGAGGCCTCCTCGTGCCCTTTGACCCGGAGCTTGTACCAGTAGCACATGAACATGGCGTAGATGTCGTACACAAAGTAGGGAACGGCGAACATGATGTAACTGCTCGTGAGCCAGTGCCTGGAAGCATAACAGGAGGGACACAGCTTCACTAACAGTCAGAACACAACTTCATTAATACTGCGCTTGCCTGCCAAGTTGGAGCTAAGTACAATTAGCTATACAAACTATGACAACCCTTAATAAAACAAATCTTGCCCCCTCTGCAATGAAAAAACTAACTGGAAAAACCCACCTAAAACATACAGATGAGAACAAAATTATTAGGCCCTCTCCCCTGTGACATTTAAAGTTTTTGTCAAAATCTTCGGTAAGGATTTGAGCTGTCACTTGAAAAAAGTATTATGTCAAAAACAAAAGAAAAAGAAATGCTGATTCTCACAAAGCATGAGATGGATTGTAGTGTCAAAGAAGACAACCACTGGAACCCTGCACAGGACTGTGAGGTTCATATCAAGAAAAACTAAATTTCTGCAGAAGAGAATCGTTCAAGCCAGATTGAAGTATGTTAATAATGACCTGGCACATCTTTGGCTCAGGTGAGACAAAACTAGAGCTCTTTGGCCACAGAAATTCTGCTTTTGTTTAGAGAAAGAAGGGAGGGGCATACACCCCAAAGAACACAATCCATATTATGTTGTGGGGCTCCTTCAGTGCATCTGAAACTGAGGATGTCCTTGAGGTGGAAGGAATCATAAAGACGATATTTGATATCTGATGAATGATATGGGAAGATTTTGAAATAAAACTTCAAGCATTCAACAGTAAAACTAGGTCTGGGTCGTCCCTTTGTCTTCCAACATGACAAAAACATATATTGCCCCGGTAAAGAACTAAGTGAACACTGCTGACTGGCTTGCACAGAGCCATTACTTTAATCCCACTAAAAATCTGTAGGGCAAACTGAACACCAAGGTCCATGCTATAAGACCTTGCATCTGGAGGGGCTTGAGAGATTCGCCAAAGAACAACTGCCTGGGATTTACACGAGACATGTGCAAGAAAAAACAACGGCACGCTGTTATCCAGCAAAAAGGATACAGTATTGGCTTTTAGCAACAAAGTGAAAAGTAAAATCATTTAAGCATCCAAAGTAAAACTAGGATGTTTGGAAAAGCTGTGTTAACAATTCCTTGTCCTGTTTGAGAACACTTGGAAAACACTTGAAAAATATATTTTTTTTAAAGGGCATTTTGATAGAGGGATTAATAACTCTGTCCTCATCTGTATGTAGAACATGAAAACCAGAGAGCCTATACATAGTCCAGACACAGACCTGGAAATGACCAATCATGATATTAAAGCCTGATCAAATGTGACAGAATATATTCCAGAAATGTACTCATAGACTTACTGGTCCTCAATGATGTCTTCACAGGAAGAGGCAATGATGTAGCCTGCTGAGGAAGCCATGACTGCCTGAATTGAGGACACCAACCTGAAATGACAAGCATTCACTGTCAAGTTAACACATGTTAAAAATGTGCAAAATAACACAGCTCAAAGTACCTGTAAAAACATAATAGCTTCCACATTAATCTGACACACCTGTTATGCAAAAAAATAAAATAAAAAAATAAGAGGTTTAGTCTAAAACAACCTTGATCGCACTGCAGTAAAAGCACCACTTTGCTATAATTTTAGAGGGCATGCTGTTGGCATAAAAGGTAAACAGAGTGAGGGTCGAGTTTCTAGATGGCATTTCTACATCTACTGCGAATAAGACAACACAGCAATTCAAAAGCATTTCAGAGGGGCTAACCTAGCTGATACAATCACTGCGTCCCCTTCGCTCCATCTCAGCCCTGGAATGGTCTTCAGGCATTGTTTGGACAGCAGGAAAAGGCCTGGAAAGAAAATAGAGCCAGCAGCTAGGATGGCCAGCATGGTCCCTGGCGATCTGTCGTTGAGGCAAAAAGTTCAGCAGGCAATCTGGTCCTTGAGATCAGTCGCTCTTTCACCTCTCTGAAAAACACGAGACACGACAGAGTGAATGAGGGCTCATACTGAGCTCACTACAATTCCCTGGTGTAAGCATGTCGCAAATACTATTCTAGACTACCATTGGTGGGAATAGATTTTTCTACTGAAAGGCCAAAGAAGAGCATAAGATTCAGGTAAGAGAAGGGTGCACTGCACTGAATGCTGAGAGACTACACGGGGGTAGGATGTCAGTGAGCAGACGCCTTTGTGCAACATGCCGTTTTACCTATATGCATTTATATGCATATATATACCTATACATATTAAAGCATGTGGTTTTACTATGCGGTTTTTACAGTTTGCACATAGTCGAGGAGCTGACTCATTAAAAGTTGAAGTCCATTAGCAAAATACGCATTGCGCTATTTTTAAAATCCCAAACGTCGAAAATATTGACAATGCATGTGATGCTACTGCTGCTCACAGCTTCTGGCAGCACTGCTAGCCGAGGTTAACCTGTCTGGATAACCAGATACAGGTTACGCTTTTGATTCACATACAAATAAGCTATGCTGACAACATTGGCGACCCAGCCTAGTCTAGTCAGTTAACCTTTAATTTTTAAATTGGCCCAAGCTCTGACAGGATGCAGACTCAAGGAGCCCACGTGTCAAATTTACTTGTTCCTGAGCAAACGCTAACTTACGTTTTCTCTCCAAATTTAACAGCTAGTTAAGCTAACTAGCGGCAGAGTGGCAAGGCGAGTTAGCGGGCTTTGCCGTTTTCTTCTCCCAAGTCCTAATAAGACAAAAACTGGGTCAGCCAGTATGCGTGTATGCTCAGTGTACAAAACGATATAGCCAACATTAAATGCCATCCCGCTGCAGGCAACAGCAACTGTCTGCACCCCTCAACCGCCCGCTAACAATGAGTACAAACGCTAGCTAGCGCTAGCTGTGGTACTTTAGTCACCACTGGCTTGGCAACCGACACCATCCATCAATCCACAACAACAGTTAGAGAGATACTAGCACCTCCACATAAATACTAATCGTCAACTGTGTCCCCGTCTATGTTTTCTCGCTAATTCATGGACAAGACACGATAGCGTTAAACTGTTTCGTTAGCTTGTTATTTGTTTGTAGCACTTAGCAGTAGCAGCGCAGCTAACATACCCCGTTAAGCGCTAACCGTGGCTAGCGGATTGGAGTTTACACATGTCTAGAATAGAGGAAGAAATTGTTATGCAACATTTACACGGCGACTCTGCAGAGTCCAGTCAGCGGCCAGTCGAAAGTCGTGTCCTGTTGAAAGCGTTTAGAGGTATCCCGGGGGTCTCCGCCTCGATGATCCGCATGTTTATGTGACCACTTCAATGTTGAAGGGTAGTAGCAGCGAGCTAGCGCTAGCGTGCCTCAACTTAGATCAAAATCTGTATGAGGGCAGCTCACCGAGGGCATCGGTGGGAAGCATGCGACAGAAATAGCAGTATCTAATTAAACAGATGACAAAAGACAATGGCGCAGTCGGGTACAGGTGTCACAGTGACTGTAGCTGGTCCAGTCGCTATGTCATCTCCTCTGTCTCGCCACAGCAGAGCAGAGATGCCGCTGCCTCCTCTCCTCTCTCAGCCTCCCAGATGCAACGTTGACTCAACACTGTTGGACTGCTGCGCCAGCTACTTTCCTACAGGTCCGGGCGGCAGCATCTCATGTCATGACGAGGAATTTGCACCAGTCACAGCACCGCATTTCGCAAATTGTTGTTTTCTGTGCACTGAAACGCTGAATGGATCCCACGTAGGGAAGCAATCTATTTCAGCTCGATTTTTAGTTTGCAAATATTCACTCTGCTTCTTTCAAAATCACAGACGTTTTATCTGTTTATATAAAACACTGAAAACGTGCACAAAGAATAAAGCCCCATTCTCTTTGGTACAGGCTACATCTTTGAACCGTAGAGTCATTGTTTATAAGTGAACAGCAACAGCCAATAAATGTATCTCTTATCAGCCCTCAGCTGCATATAATCAGACATGCCTAGTGTCTTTACAGGGTCACAGCCCTGCCTGGCAGACCTTGCCAGGGAAGCTTGCAGATAACGGGACAATTAATGCTACTTTGTTCAGGCTTGGCAGTGATATCCATGTCTAACACTACTCAGTTGGTGCTGGGTAACAAATGTGTATATGTATGTGCAACACATGCACATGCCAGCTGTCTGTGTAAAACGCAAACATAAGCCAAGGTGAAATTCAAAAGCAATCTGCCATGAAGGTTATAAACATAAGTGACCTTCCTAACTAGGCTCGTGAAATTATTCTTTATATTTTGTGGTT